ATATAATTAACATTGCGATTATTTAGATATTCGTGCCAACAAGAACGCGAGAGAACTCGTTCGCGATTATCAGCGTGATATCTGGAGCAAGCTCGGCGATACGCGACAATTAACCCCTTCGCAGTGGAAAATATTTTCTCTCGGCGGATAATAAAAATATAACTCGTTGCAGCAGCTTTAAATAGCTTTAAAATATCGTTACGCCTCGCGAAGGCAAGGATGATCGCCCTTAAAACACTGTCCGGCTGGTAAACAAGGTGTTGCTGAGTAAATAGCCGTCAATGAGCGCGAGTTAACTTTGCTAGATTTAATACGAGTCGACGACGATACATCGCGCGTAATTATGAAATCGAAATAATCGTCGGCGTCTCGGCAAGCACATATTTCGCAATATAATAAATATAAGGAAAGTGTAAACGCCGTGTGTATATAAAAATAGAAGTCAAGGCAGCCCGTGTATGAATGCTTCTTATTCCCTACCGTCTTGGTAACCCTCACAAAATTAACGTTCGTAAAAGTGGCGACGCGAGCGATTTTTAGCGACGATTAAAGATGAAGCCGCACAAAAATATACCGTAACGAATGTCAGTTTCAAGGTTCGCGCGGCTACACGTTCTCTCCTCTCGCCTTCTCGCTGACACTGCAGGTTCCCTTTGCTCCTCTCCCGCTATCTTCCTTCCTTCTCGTTCGCTTCCTCCTCGTCAAGTGTTCTCTTTCACGGCGAATGCCCGATGGTTCCGCGCTAAACACGTTAACCGACGAGCTTACGTAATCGGCATTGCTCGCTCGAAGGTAAGAAAGAAGGTAAGAAGGTCATCAGTCACGAGGCGAACCTTCTCGTCCTCGGTATTATTCTCGAAGGCTTCCCATTGTCTTCGGACACGAAATGGACACGTCCATTTCGCGTAGCGACACTGACGTGTTAATGAAAGCCCGCTAATTGTTTCGAAATTATTACCACGAGAAACTATTTGTTCGAAGGAACAGTAGTACGAGCACTTGTATATAATGGATACTGTTGTCACGGTATCACAAGATTCTTACAGGAGATGAATATATCACTTATAACAGCGATACTAAAAAAAAAAAAAACAGTTTTTCAGAAAATAAATTTTAATATTTTGAATATATTTTGAAAATAATTGTAGAGGAAGAATCCTGGTGAAAATGTATACAGTTTTTCTGATGGAAAGAAATTTAAAAATACGTGTAGTTTGCAGCTATCCAATTATTATATTATCTAATATTAGTAGATTACTATTAATTAAAATACTGCGTTGTCCTGTTTATTGTCCTGCTTTTGTGTTGAGATTCTGCACTGTTTTTGTGCGCAGTCATTGCAAAGCATTACATTTTAGGATCCTAAATAATTTATTATTAAACAGAAATTAATATAACGCTGAGTACTGTTTTAAAAAATTCATGAATGAAATTTCTATCTCAGTTTAAAAGTATTTTTTTTAACATTTTCATTAATTCTTTTTCTACTGACAACTGAAAAGTGACAATTTTTTTAGTCATGTCGTTATTATGACAAATGAGCGAAAAAACTGTCATTTCTTTGCATATCTCAATGACGCTTATACTTTCAACGACTCGGTAATTTACATCTTAAAAATTGTAGCTTCTTTTCTCAGAAACTAACTTTATCTTCCCTTTCCCGCTTTTTCCTAATTAATATTACGAAGGAGAGTATCGATCGTTTCTGTTGCGAGTGTCTCACTTGACAGTCGCAAAGCGAGCGGAACTTGTCGACGGTATCGACAGCGACGAGCACGCGTTTCGATTGGTCAAACGGCAATGGCAACGTTTTGTTTGCAGCTACAACATGCCCGACACACACCTGACAGCGCAATCAACGTTTGTTCCCCTATCGATTTCGCGTTTTCGCTATTTTTCCTCCCTTCCGGCTGTCGGTTGGCGGGTTTATTGAAAGTTCCGAACTCGGAAGATCGTTTTCAACGCGGCATCGCAAGCGACGCACGTAGTAATGAAAATAAAAAAAAAATAAAAAGACACTTGTATTGCTTAAAGGCTTCCATTTAGTGACACAAGTCAACGCAAATGTTCTACCTTTCTTTGCATTCCATCAATAACAAAGAACAGGATAATATTTGTGTTGACTTGTGTCAACTAAATGAAAAGCACCCAAGGGAAGTTACAGGTTCAAACTCCAGATTCTGGCTCGAATAATATTTGTCGCAAGAAGTTATTTGCAGTGTTTTAAGATGCTTATTAATTAGTACAATTATTAAATTGACGGTCAATTTAATTTGTGATTCCAGCTTCAGTTTATAATTGCGTTTCACAAGTCCAACAATAATCGGCGTATAATTTATATAAGCTGAAAGCTGTTTAAAATTTACGTTTAAAAGATGAAAATTATTAAAAGATGTAGCTTCGATCATGTTAATCCTTTTTTACTTATTTGATTTACACTTATTTAGTTTTTTTCCTTATATCAAGAAGAAAATGTTATTCATTTCGAAAAGTACATAAATAAAATAATTTATTTGAAATTAAAAAAATAAGCGATAATGTCTACCGTTTCGAATAGACTCGACAAATCAGTAAAGATAGATACTAGAAGGAAAGGACGTGCGAAAAAAACAGCTTCTGCACGCGAACAGGACGGAATAAATTTAGCTTTATTTACTCATTGTGCCAGTTACAGCCGTAACTAAACTCACGTGTGAGAATCGCGTTTACGACCTGCATACCCTTGTCTTTTTCCCCGTCCCAGATTTAATCTTCATTCGCTCAGCGGCGTAACAACGATGACACATTCCACGCAAGCAAGTTGCGAGACGGTTCAAGATCCATCGCATTTTGCATGGAGGAAGCGAGGGACACTCGTACCATGATCGGCGATCGAGAGTAATCTTGTTGAAAAACGCGCATATTCTAATGAAGCTGACGCATGTCAGGGCGTGTCTTTTCAACCGCGTTCACACACAGAAAAATATTCTATTGCTAAGAAAAGTGCTTACTCTTATTTTTTTAATTTAGTAACGATTATCTTTAATAAAAAATATTTTCTTGATAATAAAATTCTTATAAAATATACTTATAATAGATTTTCTAAAAACCCATTGTTATATGTACTCAAATTTATTTTCTTTTGAAGAATATTATAAAATTGATGAAAACGTAAGCAAATCGAATTTGATTTAATTTTTAATCTTGATTAAATTCACTAGGATTCAGAATACATTTCGAATAAATTTAATGTTTGACAAACTATGTAATTATTATTTGCGTACAATACTCTCTAAATCTGACTCAGTGAATAATTACTGATATCAGTACCAAGTATGTTGGTAATCAGTGAATTAAATATGAGATCCTTAACTTAGTCAATCTTTATTATGCGATCTAACCTTGTTTTAATGCTTAAATTCAATGAATTCGGTATTGGAAGATTGAAATTAACGTGCAAATATCAGTATTTTAGTTATATAATATTCAAATATTCTTCCTTTTTTAGTTTAACTTGATTGATTATCAGTAATGCTAAGTATGGAAAATGGAAAATTACTGACTATCCACTGATTCAGATTTAGAGAGTATGTATTTTTCTGTGTGCACATTCCGCACCACGTCACGTGTAAAAAAATCTCGGTACAAAACATACGGGACGAGCATACCCGATACATCTTCGTCTTCGCTTGCTATTTCGACGCGCACTTCTTTTTCCGTGTCCTAGTATTCCGAATGGCATGAATTTAGAAATTTAGGGCGCCTTCGATCCTAGGTCGCTCAGTGACAATGAAAATGACAGTGCTAATTTTAAAGGAGAAGAAAAAGAAACACTTTACCGCCGTCTCTGCGGAATGATCAAGTAAATTCACGCCGAGTGTGATAATATTAATAATAATACGTCGTAAAATATATTCTTCTCCTTCTCCCCCTCTCTTACTAATTAAATACACGCATGTATATAATGCCAATCACCGGTAGAATATTAAACGCACGAGTATGCGTCGCTGTATTATACGTGACAGAAACATCTATTCGGTCAGTAGCCACCGCGAGAAACCTGCCAACGTGACTGTAATAAACGATCGCTTCCTTCTGCACGATGCCTGTCGTTTCATGCTCGCGCGGACCGACGAGGGACTTCCGTCGATCGCAATCGTCACGCGACGATTATACGGAGGGCAAAAAAAAACTAATTTTAAAATTTGACGCCTTTTGCGCAGCGCGATTGAATATAACTAGTAATCATGCTGTTCTCTCGAGAGAAATTCTAAGGCTGATGTTCATAGTCTTATATTTAAGATCATCTTAATTTCACTATAAATAAATAAATATTTATAAATATTTATTTAAATAAATATTAATTTATTTATTTATTAGAAATAAATATTTATTTAAATAAAACTTTATTCTTTCCAAATAAGCTATATATTTTATTTTTTGCAATTTATGAGATATATTTCACAGAAACGTATATTTTGTCATCGTAATCGTAAAATTTCGTAAGTAATATTTCGACATTTTTCTCTCAATGTGTTATGAATCAGACAGCTGTATATCATATTAAGACAGTTGTCACAAATTCTTATCTTAAAATTCCACAGCTTTTTCCTGATGCCTTCAATAATATTTTGAAATTGTTTTGTATTTTCGTTCTGATTTCTGGAAATCAAATATTTTATTAAAGGAGCAATTTAACATAATAATGTAAATTGCTGTTAATGTTGTTAACATTGCTTGTACTTAATTGTTAAGTTAATTAGTAGTATTTCAAAACTGCAAAAGTAGGATGTGCCCATATTAAACTTCTTTAATTTTATCTTATTTAATCACAAAATCAAAGATCTTTCTAGAAAATTTTGCCAAAATTCCCTGACTTTTTCCTAATTTCCATGATCGTTCTCAATTTTCCCCGATTTCCAGTTTTGTGCCAATCCTTTACTTAAAACGGTCTTAAAATAAGAACGGACTATGAATACCGTCCTAAAAAGAAACTCCAAAACTCGGACGTGATCTCACTCTTATTCGAATTCCGTACATACGTTCGTATTTACGTTTCGGATCGTGGAAAAAAGATTATCGGGCATCTTCCAAATAAGGGAATCCTCCTCCCGTCCGAATGAAGCGTCTGCAAACACACGGCGCGTCGTAAAAAAAGAAAAAAAAAATAAAATAAAATAAAATAACGTCCGCAACCCACACGTATGGCGAACCTGATTCAATAGAAGACGCGATGTTGTATGCGATGCGCGCGCGTACACGTGTACACACGATACGCGATAGCAGGACCTGCTCTTCACGGCTCGTTCCCATCGGTGCCAAGGTTGCATCGTACCCGTGTACATTAGCTGCACTGGAGCAGCCGAGGCCTCTGCGTGCCTGCCGGAGCCTCGCGTGATGCTTACGGAGCTTATCGCACGGAGAAACACGCATCCCGTACGCGTGTGCGTGCACGGTCGTGAGTACGTAAAACGCGTATGCGATAACGTAGAAACGACGACAACGGCAACGACAACGACGACGACGACGACGACGACGACGACGACGACGACGACGACGACGGAGGCAACGACGACGGTCTAGGCTAAATAAACGCAGCCACAGGATTTACAGAGGCCGAGAGAAAGAGAGATAGAGAAACGAGAGCAATTCCCTATGAATCGCTCGTATCTATATGTATCATCTGACTGCAAGCATTGCGCAAGCCGGTGCCCGGATTCTCATGCGCTTCTAGAGCACGAGATTAGTGATAAATTTATATGGAAATTCGGGACACATCACGCGGAGAAATGATGCTCCATAAATCCAGCATTGTAGAAGAAAAATTAAAGAGACAAGGCCGCAGCTTTTATAAATCGTGTACCGTTATTTTTAAGAGAATAAAATTAGATGTGTTGTACAGTAAAGAAGCACACGATTGACACTAAATCAAGCATTATTGCTCGTTTCTGTTTTTTTTTTTGGATTACCGTTGTATTTCTTGTAAAAAATAGGATTTTGAAATTTTTTGACTTTTCAAAAATTATGTCTGGTTTTTTATCATTTTCTTTACTTTCGTAGTAATTTAATCGCTCGATATTTATCCTTTTAGGCCCAGTTTTTCATTTTCTGGTTTAACTTTTTTTGATTACACTTAACTTGATAATGTAAAAATATTTTTTTAGCTATAGTTTATCACTAAAGTGATAGTTTATCACTAACTGATAGTTTATCACTAAACTAACTAATAGTTTTGTAGTAACTTTTGAAGTTACAATTAATTTAGTAATAGCTAGAAAAACACAATTTTTACATTTATCATGAAGTTAAGTAAGGTTAAGTCAAGTCGAAACAAATTTATCCAAATAATGCATGAAAAAGAGTCATCTTTAGTGAGTATAAAGAAGACTTTTAGTGTTAATTGGATAATATGACATTACACATCAATAATGCTCTATGATGTTAGATTTATGGGACACTCTACAATTAGCTTCTTACATTTCAAAAAGCAAAATATATTCTTTATATAATAATAAATACAATTTTATATTTAATAAATAACACGTTATCGGTGACGACTGTGATACTTTTATCGAATCGGATTCATTAACGTGATATAATATTCGTCATACATAGACGTAACATATACGCTAATTAATGTACGCATAGCCATGTAATGAGTATCGAGAGAACGGAATCATGTATCGAATCATTATCTAAACATTTAATGAGTCGAATTGCATGTCGCGAGATTTTCACGAATGCATGCAAATTCGAAAGTAACATATATTTTCGTTCAGGCCGGTGATATCGGTTATCAACAATCGATGCGAACAATACGCATCGATTATCTCCGAAATATGGAATGAGCGATGCGATAAATGCGTCCGCGATAACGCAATATATCGGTTGTACATAAAGAGAAAAATTTTTTATATTTATAAACTATATAATTATATATTACTGTAATTGTGATTATTACTGCTGTTATTAATAAATAATATGTAAAGTTCTATCAATAAATATATATAATTGGTAACAAAAAATAACAATAAAATGATTGTAATTACAATAATTTAACTATAATTTATATATATTTTTAGTCAACATAAAAAAATTACTACAAATTATTGTAACCGCTATCATTTTATGATAATAATTATAATTCACATTTTCGGGATTATTATATATATTTATATATATTTATTATTATTTATATAT